CTCATTGGTCAGTCAGTATCACCTAATACTAAGATAGCAAGTAGAGAGCATTATAGTAAAGTCTTCTATGTACGGGTGTTTAAAACAGTACATTGGAAAAAAGCAGCAAGGGATGTATTGCCATTGATTTCAGTGCAGGAAGCACTCTCTTATGTGCAAAGAAAGCAATCATTAATCGACTTAGTGAATGCAGTTGTTCTGAAACAAGTCTTTCAACTGGAAGCTCCAGTAGAGATAACTTTCAACCAGTAATACAAAGCTAAAAATATTATTTATATTTTAAATTGCGTCGCCAAATATTCAACCCGAACCCGACCCAATCCGACCCGACGGTCGGGTTCGGGTCGGGTTGCAGGTCTCTACACATAAAATATCGGTAAATCGAAGAGAGTGGGTGATATTTAGATGAAATCAGTTTCTATCATTAGTAATATTGGGTATTATGTGTTTATTTAATACGCATTTTCTAACGTACTAAATTCTGCACATTTAAAGAGTTAATCTCTCATGTTTGGTATCACCGGTAAAGCGTCGCTCTGTTATCCTTAGTCTAAGAAACTTTCTCTTTTACTCTATAATAAGTTTATTCATTATTTCAATGCTTTATAATACTCGTTCACACACGTCTAACACAAAAACTGCAACACTGAAGTGGGAGAGAAGACGTTATGTTTATTTCAAAAACGAGAAAAGTCACTTATTTTCAATTTGGAATGAAAACAAATTAGTTTCCTGTTGCTTGCACCAGTATACTTGCAAGAGAAAAGTATGCACCAGTTTTGGAACGAGTATAAAGGTATTTTCTACGAGTGCAAATCACTTTATGTAGGCGAAAGTGGATCTTTTGATAGGAGGATCAAATAACGTCAAAGTGAATTAACCGAAGCAAGCGTTGAATTGTCAGAGATTGTTTCATGTAAAAAGAAAACTGAAATTCAGTGAGACTGTTATTTTTAACAAGAAGTGAAACGAAAAAGATTAGAAAATATATGTTCTATTTCTAACAAATCGTACATGAATAAAACAAGCATTAACCCTGACACGAACACCTGTGATCCGCACGGCCTCCCGATGATAAAGAGTTGTTTACAAGCTTTTGTGGTTATGCTATCAGATCAATGATGAATGAATGAAATTAGTTAATATTGTCGCATCCTGTTGTTATCCACCACAGTGTAGAATGAAGCGATGGAACCAAAGTGCTGTCTACAGACTAGCCCCGCATGATAACGCATGAATAACTTTCTCTTCTTCTCTCTATTCTCTGTTTTTAAATTCCTTCTCGTTTTCTTTCTCCATCTGTTGAACATACTACTACTGTTCTCTTTTATCCATATGTCTATTGCTGGTCTCTTCTGATGCTGAACCCTGACACGAACACCTGTAATTTCTCCAGATTTTAAGCGTTTCATGCGAGGCTAGTCTGTAGACAGCACTTTAGTTCCATCACTTCATTCTACACTGTGGTGGATAACAACAGGATGCACTAATAATATTAACTAATTTCATTCATTCATCGTTGATCTGACAGCACAACCAGAAAAACTTGTAAACAACTCTTTATCATCGGGGGGCCGTGCGGATCACAGGTGTTCGTGTCAGGGTTAATGCTTGTTTTATTCATGTACGATTTGTTAGAAATAGAACATATTTTCTAATCTTTTTCGTTTTCGCTTCTTGTTAAAAATAACACTCTCACTGAATTTCATTTTTCTTTTTACATGAAACAATATATATATTTGCAAAATAACTATGACCCGTAGGGTCCTTACAGTACAAAAGAAAAGTGTACGTATAAATCTTACAGGAAAAGTCTTCATACAGGCGTACCACCAAAAAATAGAAAAAAGAGTAAGATAATACATAGAAATTATAATTAGCAGAGAACAGTTACTGACTAGCATCTGGATAATACTTAAGAATAAAATAAGAAAGTTCAAAAGAAAAATAGATCAATAAAACAGAAATACTACAGCATACAACTATTGAAATTAGCAAAAGAAAAAATTAGTATTAAAAGGATTCAGAAAATTCACAGAGCTGATCAATATCATTAATGTCCAGCACGGGTATAGTGTCAGTTAAGGGGTTATGTGAAGTCCACAAAAAGCATTTTTCTAATGTGCTCAGATGCTCAACAAAACGTTTAGAACGATATAACCCAAGTATCCGATTCTCTCCATTAAGCCACAGCGATCTATAAGAATTTAGGTTTGTTTGTTCTAAGAGGAGAAATCCTCAATATTATGCGAAAAAGCAGTAGAATATTTGTTCCAGTATCTAACACATCTATCAGTGAGAGAAATCTCGTTAAACACGTAGGCAAAGAAGAAATCTGACCAACGGGGACAAAAGAACGTACGTTTTAAGGTTGTATAATAAAAGTGGCACAGGTCTTGTTGTTGCCTACCAGTAAACAGAGGAACAAGGGCCAAAAAAAGGTAAAAAGAGGAAGTACAAAACCAAAATATAAAACTCTTCTCAATTTTAAACTGGTACAGCCGAAAATTCTACAGGATCTTATCATTCCTAACCGTTGTCTAATTTTTAGGATACTTCTACTAATCATTTTCGACCAGCCTAATTTTGGAGTTAGCCAATAGCCCAAATACTTGAATTCGGATACCCACCCTATCAGGTGGGATCCACACATTAACTTAAAGTTCGGGAGGCCGATAGCACGAGCAGACCAGAGTGCTTCAGTTTTATCGTAGTTTAACGGCTGAAGTGTCAATAAGGAATAAAATTCGAGATAATCAAAGCAAACAGCCAATCTTTTTTCTAAGTCTATGCATTGTTCGGTGTAACTAACTCTGATACGACCTGCCATAACCGCAGCCAGATCGTCAACAAAAAAGAAGGCTAAAGCCATTTTTAAAAAATCACCTAGGTCAGAGTGATAAGTGATGAATAAAATTGGTGTAAAACTAGATCCTTGGGGACCACCGCTGAAGATTGACAAAATCCGTGACCTGTATCCATCAATTTCGATAAACGCTTTTCTACTTATCAACCACGCTCTTATCCAATTTACATACGCCTTCGCGATACGTAATCTCAGCATCTTACCGAGGCATCCCTCAAACCACAGCTGATCGAAAACACTCTTAAAATCCACGAACACCGTTGCTACTGAGGAGCTATTGGACATATACGAAGAAATTTGGTCGATACGAAGGAACACTCTGATCTGCAACCGGGAATCGGCACGAAAACCTGATTGTGTATCAGGTAAAATTCCTCTTAAACGTAAAACTTCGAGAAATCTTGATAAAAATAACTTTTCCTGTATCTTGAGAAATACATCGAGTAACAAGATTGGTCTAGTAGACGTAACAGAACAAATAGACTCTTTTTACTAAATGATTGCTAACTAACAATAGCACCCCTTCGTGGCTATTCTTACCCTTCTGAGAGAACAGCTTATAATTTCTAAAAAGTTGTATTATAAAGGAAAGATCTACAGCACCTATTTCACAAAGTGAAATTATGTCAACTTTAAATAAATTAACCAACAAAAGTACTTCGTTCCACCTTTTATGTAAGCCTCGTACGTTAAATGACAAACAGTGAAGTGAAAAGAAAATGGAAGGTAGATCAGGACGTACGAAACTTCTCCATTTAGACAAACACATACACAATGTAGACGCACTTTCCCATTCCTCTAAAAGACTCGTAAACAACGTAAAATCAGAATTTGAAAAAATATTTCTAGCTATGTTCAGCGTTGACTGTAAGACGATTTATTAGTTGACGATGCTTCCTTGTAAGTTTCATTTATCACATATACACATTACCTGTAATTAATATACATTGTTCTCTTTCTGCTTTTAAATTTAAATTTTTTTGTAATATAATATTAGCGTTAGTTGTTTCATCATCATTTTTTTTCATCATCCCTAATAATTTTAGCGGTGGTATTCTAATTGTCATATGTTTCATTTCAAATAAATTTAAATTAAATTGTCTTATATTTAATTGTAATTTATTTTTAAAACATTTTAATTGATATTCAATTAGTGATATTAATTTTAATTTTAATTGATAGAGACGTTCACCCATTGTTATTGTAATTAATAATGATTCTGTTACACATATCAGTGTATATAATAAATCAAATAAATATTTATAAAATGATATAATACCCAAATATTTGATTGCATCAGAAAATGGGTACCATATTAGATTTCTCGAAACGGGCCTTCACAGGAGGCGTAGAATCAGCATCAGATTTGCCTCGTCGAATCAAGTGATGGCGTTAGAATAGGCTCGATGAACGTTGTACAAAAGTATGTTAGTGATAGTGGCCTCGAAGAGAATTCAGAGCTGAAACTATACATTCGGGATTTCTTATTAGCTGAAGAGTGTTTCTGTCTATTTAAATGGGCAGGGTCACTTAGTAATATTGTAACATATTTATTACCAGTGGTATTATTTTTTTATTTTCGTAAAATCGAAAATCAATCACCATCTGATGCAATCAAATATTTGGGTATTATATCATTTTATAAATATTTATTTGATTTATTATATACACTGATATGTGTAACAGAATCATTATTAATTACAATAACAATGGGTGAACGTCTCTATCAATTAAAATTAAAATTAATATCACTAATTGAATATCAATTAAAATGTTTTAAAAATAAATTACAATTAAATATAAGACAATTTAATTTAAATTTATTTGAAATGAAACATATGACAATTAGAATACCACCGCTAAAATTATTAGGGATGATGAAAAAAAATGATGATGAAACAACTAACGCTAATATTATATTACAAAAAAATTTAAATTTAAAAGCAGAAAGAGAACAATGTATATTAATTACAGGTAATGTGTATATGTGATAAATGAAACTTACAAGGAAGCATCGTCAACTAATAAATCGTCTTACAGTCAACGCTGAACATAGCTAGAAATATTTTTTCAAATTCTGATTTTACGTTGTTTACGAGTCTTTTAGAGGAATGGGAAAGTGCGTCTACATTGTGTATGTGTTTGTCTAAATGGAGAAGTTTCGTACGTCCTGATCTACCTTCCATTTTCTTTTCACTTCACTGTTTGTCATTTAACGTACGAGGCTTACATAAAAGGTGGAACGAAGTACTTTTGTTGGTTAATTTATTTAAAGTTGACATAATTTCACTTTGTGAAATAGGTGCTGTAGATCTTTCCTTTATAATACAACTTTTTAGAAATTATAAGCTGTTCTCTCAGAAGGGTAAGAATAGCCACGAAGGGGTGCTATTGTTAGTTAGCAATCATTTAGTAAAAAGAGTCTATTTGTTCTGTTACGTCTACTAGACCAATCTTGTTACTCGATGTATTTCTCAAGATACAGGAAAAGTTATTTTTATCAAGATTTCTCGAAGTTTTACGTTTAAGAGGAATTTTACCTGATACACAATCAGGTTTTCGTGCCGATTCCCGGTTGCAGATCAGAGTGTTCCTTCGTATCGACCAAATTTCTTCGTATATGTCCAATAGCTCCTCAGTAGCAACGGTGTTCGTGGATTTTAAGAGTGTTTTCGATCAGCTGTGGTTTGAGGGATGCCTCGGTAAGATGCTGAGATTACGTATCGCGAAGGCGTATGTAAATTGGATAAGAGCGTGGTTGATAAGTAGAAAAGCGTTTATCGAAATTGATGGATACAGGTCACGGATTTTGTCAATCTTCAGCGGTGGTCCCCAAGGATCTAGTTTTACACCAATTTTATTCATCACTTATCACTCTGACCTAGGTGATTTTTTAAAAATGGCTTTAGCCTTCTTTTTTGTTGACGATCTGGCTGCGGTTATGGCAGGTCGTATCAGAGTTAGTTACACCGAACAATGCATAGACTTAGAAAAAAGATTGGCTGTTTGCTTTGATTATCTCGAATTTTATTCCTTATTGACACTTCAGCCGTTAAACTACGATAAAACTGAAGCACTCTGGTCTGCTCGTGCTATCGGCCTCCCGAACTTTAAGTTAATGTGTGGATCCCACCTGATAGGGTGGGTATCCGAATTCAAGTATTTGGGCTATTGGCTAACTCCAAAATTAGGCTGGTCGAAAATGATTAGTAGAAGTATCCTAAAAATTAGACAACGGTTAGGAATGATAAGATCCTGTAGAATTTTCGGCTGTACCAGTTTAAAATTGAGAAGAGTTTTATATTTTGGTTTTGTACTTCCTCTTTTTACCTTTTTTTGGCCCTTGTTCCTCTGTTTACTGGTAGGCAACAACAAGACCTGTGCCACTTTTATTATACAACCTTAAAACGTACGTTCTTTTGTCCCCGTTGGTCAGATTTCTTCTTTGCCTACGTGTTTAACGAGATTTCTCTCACTGATAGATGTGTTAGATACTGGAACAAATATTCTACTGCTTTTTCGCATAATATTGAGGATTTCTCCTCTTAGAACAAACAAACCTAAATTCTTATAGATCGCTGTGGCTTAATGGAGAGAATCGGATACTTGGGTTATATCGTTCTAAACGTTTTGTTGAGCATCTGAGCACATTAGAAAAATGCTTTTTGTGGACTTCACATAACCCCTTAACTGACACTATACCCGTGCTGGACATTAATGATATTGATCAGCTCTGTGAATTTTCTGAATCCTTTTAATACTAATTTTTTCTTTTGCTAATTTCAATAGTTGTATGCTGTAGTATTTCTGTTTTATTGATCTATTTTTCTTTTGAACTTTCTTATTTTATTCTTAAGTATTATCCAGATGCTAGTCAGTAACTGTTCTCTGCTAATTATAATTTCTATGTATTATCTTACTCTTTTTTCTATTTTTTGGTGGTACGCCTGTATGAAGACTTTTCCTGTAAGATTTATACGTACACTTTTCTTTTGTACTGTAAGGACCCTACGGGTCATAGTTATTTTGCAAATATATATATTGTTTCATGTAAAAAGAAAAATGAAATTCAGTGAGAGTGTTATTTTTAACAAGAAGCGAAAACGAAAAAGATTAGAAAATATGTTCTATTTCTAACAAATCGTACATGAATAAAACAAGCATTAACCCTGACACGAACACCTGTGATCCGCACGGCCCCCCGATGATAAAGAGTTGTTTACAAGTTTTTCTGGTTGTGCTGTCAGATCAACGATGAATGAATGAAATTAGTTAATATTATTAGTGCATCCTGTTGTTATCCACCACAGTGTAGAATGAAGTGATGGAACTAAAGTGCTGTCTACAGACTAGCCTCGCATGAAACGCTTAAAATCTGGAGAAATTACAGGTGTTCGTGTCAGGGTTCAGCATCAGAAGAGACCAGCAATAGACATATGGATAAAAGAGAACAGTAGTAGTATGTTCAACAGATGGAGAAAGAAAACGAGAAGGAATTTAAAAACAGAGAATAGAGAGAAGAAGAGAAAGTTATTCATGCGTTATCATGCGGGGCTAGTCTGTAGACAGCACTTTGGTTCCATCGCTTCATTCTACACTGTGGTGGATAACAACAGGATGCGACAATATTAACTAATTTCATTCATTCATCATTGATCTGATAGCATAACCACAAAAGCTTGTAAACAACTCTTTATCATCGGGAGGCCGTGCGGATCACAGGTGTTCGTGTCAGGGTTAATGCTTGTTTTATTCATGTACGATTTGTTAGAAATAGAACATATATTTTCTAATCTTTTTCGTTTCACTTCTTGTTAAAAATAACAGTCTCACTGAATTTCAGTTTTCTTTTTACATGAAACAATCTCTGACAATTCAACGCTTGCTTCGGTTAATTCACTTTGACGTTATTTGATCCTCCTATCAAAAGATCCACTTTCGCCTACATAAAGTGATTTGCACTCGTAGAAAATACCTTTATACTCGTTCCAAAACTGGTGCATACTTTTCTCTTGCAAGTATACTGGTGCAAGCAACAGGAAACTAATTTGTTTTCATTCCAAATTGAAAATAAGTGACTTTTCTCGTTTTTGAAATAAACATAACGTCTTCTCTCCCACTTCAGTGTTGCAGTTTTTGTGTTAGACGTGTGTGAACGAGTATTATAAAGCATTGAAATAATGAATAAACTTATTATAGAGTAAAAGAGAAAGTTTCTTAGACTAAGGATAACAGAGCGACGCTTTACCGGTGATACCAAACATGAGAGATTAACTCTTTAAATGTGCAGAATTTAGTACGTTAGAAAATGCGTATTAAATAAACACATAATACCCAATATTACTAATGATAGAAACTGATTTCATCTAAATATCACCCACTCTCTTCGATTTACCGATATTTTATGTGTAGAGACCTGCAACCCGACCCGAACCCGACCGTCGGGTCGGATTGGGTCGGGTTCGGGTTGAATATTTGGCGACGCAATTTAAAATATAAATAATATTTTTAGCTTTGTATTACTGGTTGAAAGTTATCTCTACTGGAGCTTCCAGTTGAAAGACTTGTTTCAGAACAACTGCATTCACTAAGTCGATTAATGATTGCTTTCTTTGCACATAAGAGAGTGCTTCCTGCACTGAAATCAATGGCAATACATCCCTTGCTGCTTTTTTCCAATGTACTGTTTTAAACACCCGTACATAGAAGACTTTACTATAATGCTCTCTACTTGCTATCTTAGTATTAGGTGATACTGACTGACCAATGAG